ATACCAACACAAACAGCCACCGACAGCCATACAATTTTAATCACATTAAGTTCGCGCTGTCAAGAGAAAGTAAGGCGAGACTACTTCCTTCTGGCTTCAGTTCCCCGATAGTTCCCCTCCCCTTAACCACCATATAGCCCCGACCCCCTTTTACCCGGCGCCTCTGTGTTTGTTTGTTTGTTTGTTTGTTTGTAATGAATATTTGCAAGTTGTGCCTTGAGTTTTCAGCGCAAACAAACTTAAAAACTGTAGCGCACTCAAGCAAAATAAATACTTGAGCAACAGCAACAACAAGAACAGCAACGACAGCGACAGCCACGCCCCCTGTCTACCGCGTTTTTCCCGCCCTCTTTTCCTCGTTTTTTTTCCCCTTTTTCTTTGCAAAAAAATTTATTTGGTTAAGTGACTTTGAGCCCCGATGTATGTGCATATATGGTATGTGTGTTTGTCGATGTCTGTGTCTGCATGTGTTTGTCACTGTCAGTGTGTGAGTGTGTGCTTGCTGCCTGTGTGTGTGAAGGGAAGTAAGACTTCATGCATATTGAAACAAAGTGAGTGCTCGCATTGCGTATACGCAGCGTGGCCTCCAAAACAAATTAAATAGAAATAGCCAAAAAAAAAAAGAAAGGCAGCAGTGGGCGTGGCAGCAGCCAATCATTAGCTTAAAGACACTTAGACAAATGAGAAATAGGCAAAACAAATGTAACAAAATGCAAGAGACAATCCGTATTTAAATGAACTTTCTGTGATTTATTTAAACAATTGGTTTAAGAAGCTTGTGAGCTTTAAAAACTTTACAGGCATTTTTGTAGACATTTAAAGACAAATAAAACAATTATATAAAAAATTATAAAAAAAAAATTAAAACAACTTAGGAGGTATGCTAAAAACTTTAAAAACATTTATGAATCTATGAATTTGTAGGGCATTTTTAACGTAATGAAAAATTCCGTTTTATTTCTGAATCTATGATAGAATTACCTCTTTGTCTTTTTATTCAAAAAAACAATTTCTGAAAAATTTCCAAGCTTTTTCAAAGTATTGCATTATACCACGATTCCCTGCTCTTTATAGCGATTATGCGCTTTCTGAATGCGATGCTAATGACACATTCGCAGACCTTGGCACCCAAATCCCAATACCGCCCCCTCTCCCTTCCCCTTTCCCCTTCCCCTTCCTCTTTTCCTCCCCCAATCACTATTACCATCCTTCTCACAAATGCAAATCCAAAATCAAAAGCTCAGTTTAGCTTTTGGAAAGGATGTTCTCGGGGTGGCGGGATTTGACATGCCGCAACTTGGCGGCAAAAGTACACAATAAATTTGCATACCACATGCACACACACACACACACACACACACACACGCGCAAATACTGACAACGATACCAATACATACACTCTTATGAATAGAAATTGTTAGCACACAATAACAGGCAGACGGAGCGTGAAACGAGTGAAAAGACAGAGGCGTCGAAAAGGGACATATGCATAATGCCTAATAATCCGCATATTGTAATATCTGCATTATACGACTGGCGAGGAAGCGAATGTCATTATGTGGCCAAAACAGACACGGCCCATTTTCACAACACCCACCACGCCCACCCACACACCCAACCAACCACCCACCCACACTCAGATGCAAATATTGTATAAAAATTGTGGCTTAATCACGGCGCTGCAACACGAGCAATATGCAATCTGCATCTGCAACTGAAGCGAATGCCAAAGTGCCTCAAAATCTAGTTGCCAACTGCACAGTGGTGTGGAAATTTGGAATTTTGTAATTTGAGGAAAGCAACTGGGCTAAATAACCATTAGTTTTTAAATTTGCTGCCATAAAAATTTTGGAAAACATAATCTGAAAAGTGACTTGAGGTCATGTAACACCTTATATGTAACACCCTATATGACCTTAGGTCATTTTTTATCAGATATGGCAAGGATATTTAAATTATTAAAAAAAAACACCGCCACTAAATTTTTTTAAGTAACTGATGTCTAATCTCTTTTTTGGTAATTTTCCCCGAGTTTCTGAACTACAGTACGTAGCATTCATATCAATGTGGTGCTTAGATGACGCCTGCCTGGCTGCCAGAGTCGGAAAAGTGTCGCTGCTGCCAGTAACTGCTGACTTTAACCCTGCGCACGGCACGGCATGGCACTCCCCTCGCCTTAACACCCGACAGCAAACACAGCCCGAAGTTAACCCACGATTGCCCCTTTGGCAAGGCTCCACGTGGCCACCAAACATCGCTGCATTATTTGTGCTCATGTGTGGCCTGGTCCGCTGGTTCCACTGATGCCACCGATTCCACTGACTCCTCTGGGCACTGCTCCCTTAAGCCCCGTCCCCCGTCCCCCGTCCGCCGACCCCTTACCCATAACCTTTAACCCCTTAACCCTTACCCCAGCCGGTGGGCTGGCTTTCATGCCCGCAGATTTGGGTTAAAAGTGGCTTCCCTTGTGTATTTAATAGTATTCCAGACTTGCCTTCATCTTTTGCCAGCTGCAATTGTTATGGGCCAACGATGGGCTGATATAAGGGGTGTAAAAAGAGTAGAGAAAAATAGGACTTTGGAAGGGATGGGGTATTGGACTGGACTACCCCACTTAGGAACACAAAAAAAAAAAATAAAGAAAAAGAAAATAAAACGCTATCGTTTACTATTCTTTTGCCTTCAGCTTGGCATGCATTCAGTGGCCCAAAAGGATGCTGAAGTCAAAGAATTTTCCCCGGCATCAGATACTTTTGTATGCAAATTTCTCAGTTTTCGACTTTTGCCCGAGTTTTGAATTTCTATTTGAGTTATGTACGAGCACAATGTACGTACATGGACTGCCTTTCAAATACCATTCGCACTCGCATTCCATTCTCTTTAGCATTCCCTTCGTTTCGAGGTAATGGAATTGCAGACCTCCTCAGTTATTTATTTATTTAATCTATTAAGACTTTAATGGGTCCAGTACTGAGTGAAGTTCTAACGGCAAGCAGCCACAAAACTGGAGGTTATTAATTTTGTGGCATTAAAGGCCGAGAAAAGACTTAGAAACATTTACAAATCATTAGCAAGAACAGCGAAATTTGAAAGAAAACACAAATTGAGATAATAATTCCTTGAAATTACAACATCAATTGTATTAAAATGTTACAACAATATTAATTAGCAAAACTCAGCTTAAAAAGGGAAATAATGTACTTGAGAAATGTCAATGGAACTTGTCTCACAAGCAAAAACAGAAAAGAAAACAACGGGAACATGAGCAAAAAAAAAAACTAAAAAACTAAACAATGCAATTGATATTACACCTGCAGCAATGTTAACAAAACAAAGCAAAACAATACCAACTATATCCAATGATTTCTGGCCAAACGAACAGCAATTAAAACTAAGTGAAACTGGCAGAAAAACAACAGCCATCACATGTCATTAGATTTAATTGATCAGCAACAGGCAATCGGCTATCGGCAATCGGCAATCAGTGGAATATTTCTATTTTTTCTAATCGACCACAGAAGCGGATATAAAAATATGTTGTGCCACAAAATTTGATTTTAATTTGAAATTGTCATGGCAACCGATTTAAGGGGGGACCACAAAAAGGCCAGTTCAAACGAAATTGAACACTTCAGTGTTTTTTTTTTTTTTGGTCTTCTTTTGGCCACGGGGATTTCGACTGAAAGGCAAAAGCAATTTGCAGTTAATTAGCAGACTAAGAGCCACAAAAGGCATCTAAAGCGAGTTCAAAGTGGCAACATGCCGCAACAAAGATGAAATTCTCTCCTTATGCCAAACTACCGAATTTTAGATAAACACCTTTGGCCGATTGCTTCACAAAAGACAGGAAGTGCCTGGCTCAAACATGGCATTAATGTCAACCGATTTCCCAGCACATTCAATTACAATTTAGGAGACCAGAAAACGGAAATTTCAGGTCTGTGGTGGCACGTACATGCTCTGGCGGCCAGCTTCCACTCCTAACAATGTCAAACAGTCAGATGAAGAGTGATGGAAATGCATTTTAGAGGGTCCGTAATGAGCCCAATGGCTGAATGCATCCAATAAATTGACCCCTGAACCATATGAAGCGGAAAAAACAGACTCGCACGCATCGTTCAGTAAATTATAATTGATGGTGCACTGGGAGGAATAAGGTGAAACTAGAAGACAGATTGCAGAGAAAGGTTTATTTTATTTACAGTTTTTCGAAATGATAACTGAATTCCTAAAACATAAAGATTTAAATATATTTCAATTCCTAACCAACAATGAAACATATTAAAATCATTAATTTTTTTCTAGTGATAATGAAACGAATTGATTTTAGATATATGTAATCTGATATTTTATACAACACGTGGAAACACAACTGGAAATATATTAAAATCATTGATTATTTCTACTGATAATTTAACGATTTGATTTTTTTTCCATAAAATAATTTTATTAATTTGTATTTTAAGTGATTTTAGTATGGTATGGTAACAAATCTTTTTAATTGTAAAGTTATTGTAATATCTTCCAGTGTAAATGGGTTAGGAGAGCTGAACCAACGGTCGGAAAATGAACAAGAATATTGATTCGATCGGATTCGGTTGCAAATTTGCCCTTCTCAATTTCCCCAGGCCTTCCCACCACCCCATTTCTCTCAGTGTTTTAGAACAGTGTCAGCTGCTTTTGACCAGCTGGCCAGGCGTTACTTAACTGTAATTTATGCATTGCTATGGCGCTTTAATTAATCAGCGAATGGCAAGCAAACAAAATGTAATTCGCCACCGACAAAGCCCGAGAATAATGTACAATTAAAACAAAAAGAGAAAAATACCACCAACAGCTTAAAAAGAATTAATGCTTCTAAGACAAAGACAAAGAAAGTGATATTCAAAGAAATATGTTTTTAAGGAAATTGAGAACAAAATAAAAAAAAATGTGACAAATGTTTCTACTTCAAAAAAACAATATTTACTTAAAATTGTTGTATCCCTTTATCTTTACAGAACTTATACTTGGATCTAAAGTAACGATTTTAGTCGACTCACTTTGGGTAAGTAAGATATATATTTTCTATGGGTGAAAAATGCACGATAAAAGACACCATCCACCCCATGGCTCAACTCACTTATTTTGTATAGAGTTCATAACGCCAAATTTGGTTTGGCTCTTGCCCTCATTCAACTGCCAGTTATTCAGTCAGTCAATCAGTCAGTCAGTCTGTTGACCAGTAAGCTGAGCTCTGGCGAATGATAAATGGCTGACATTGTGGATTGAAGAGGCCCCCTTAACAGAGAACGACACCCCTTATTCCCTGGTTTCCCACTCAAAACGCGATTACTTAAGCAGTTACTTTTATACCCTCATCTTGAGGTGACATAAACTTTGAGTTAAATAAAATATAAGTTTAATTTAGATTATAAACATATATTAAAACAAAACTTTGTTGTTGTTGTTTTCAAGATATTTGTTATAGACTGGAATACATTATTAATTATATTCTACAATTAAAATGTAGTAGTAATAGTGCTAAGCCTGTTAATATTTCTTATCAGATGTGAATCCATTTATTTAATGTAATAATTTTTTCTGTATATTTATTTTTATAAATCTTGTACAACTTTTTTAATATGCTTAGAACGATGGTTCCGCGGAGTTGTCTGCCCTAACTTGACTCGTCAAAGTTTGCCATATTTTTTTTTCTGACCCCTGACCCCTGAAACCTTTTCCCTCCACGATTTTCCCTCTGACAGCCAGCAACTTGTAATTTGTAATGTCGAGAGTGCCAGGTAGTGGTTGTTCTTGTTGGCTGGGTCATGATTTTCAAATGAAATGCATTTCTGAACTCTGGCTGTGATTTAATGATGTGCCCGGGGAAAGTGGCTCATGGCACTTGAGAATATGATTCATGATGCAACCATCTAAATAGAGATGCGCAAGTCCTTCACTGAATTGATTTGAAAACCGAAAGAGAAACCGAAACCGATATTGTCAGCAACGCTCATTGAATTTGCGGTTCTAATTAGCTGCAATTAAGTGATTAAAAGCCATCAACCTCGATGGTAATGGAAAACATGGCCAGATCTCCGTTACCATAATTCAGGACTCACAAATTTCCTGACTGGTTTTTTGTTTTTTGTGTTTTGCTTTGTGTTTTTGTAGCGCATAATAAATGCCAATTAATTATGACAACAACAGTTACAAAATAAAGGCAGGGAAATTGTGGCAGATAAATCTGTAAATTGTCATGTGCCATAAGCGCAACATATATATGCGAACATTTCTGGCATAAATAAGTTTATGGAAATGCCACCAGCAACAATATTGCGATGACTTTTTAATTAAAAACAATAAAATTGTTCGTCGTATTATATTGATTGGTAAGTGAAATGAATCATCGATGGGCAATGAGTTTCTGTTTTTATTTGTACGGTGTTTATCAATTCCGGACAAATGACTACGGTCAAAGCCGACGTAAGTCCGATTATCGGTTCAGTTCAGTGCGTATATAAATTCCGCCATAATGGCCATGGTAATTTTTCGAGAGGATTTTGAGCTTATCCCCCGATTGATGGACTGGTCAGGATTTTTGGCAAATATTTTAACAATTTTAGTTCGCTTGCATATTTTGTAACCTTGTTCGCTTTTAGGTAAATAACTTCTATTAAGCCAACGTTCAAGGTATAGACTTAAGGAAGCTTGGGAAATAAAACAGGGCTTATAAGTTTACATATATATGTTTACGCATCATTTAATTTGAGTTTATTCAATTCAATGCTTTGTATTTTGAATACAGTCTTAGTTCAGTTAGCTGTTTGGCCCATGACTGTAAATAATGTTATTATAACTACAGTTTCGGTTTCAGTATCCCATCTGTTGCTGACACACCGCATTTCCAACTTTTGGGGTGGAGCTATTCAAATATTACTCATACGCCATGTTGGAACGGTGGAGTGAACAAAAACCCAATGGCCAGTTATTAGCTGACAGTTCAGTTCAGTTTAGTTCGGACCAGTTCAGTTCGCTTGGATTTTGGTTTTGGTTTCGGTTCACAGTCACAAACTGGCCAACAAACAAATGACCGTTTTATGGCCGGCAATCAAACACAAGACCACAAATACTTAAACTTATGGGTTGTCTGTATATGCCAGCAAACAGATATGGCCGCCATATGTATACATATATTGGATGCCTGCCATCATCATCATCGTGGCCTGGCAGAAGTTCCAGTTTCACACACAACTCGACCACAGAAATATATAAAAAACACATTCCTATTACAAATCGTGGCGAGTAGCATGCCAAAAAAAAAAAAAATAAACGAAAAAGAAAAAGTATGTTTTCATTCCCATAAGTGAAAAGAGGCCGAGGGGCGGTGGAAAACCCACTGACGCACTTATTTTGCGCTTTGAATCCAATCACGTACCAATTTTCCAAATTTAACCTTTTTGAGCCTTCAGTTGCTGGCTGCCAATAAAAACCATTTGCCAGAGTGAAATTTATATGGCCGCGTCGATGAAGAAAAAAAAAAAAGCGAGGGGAAAAATCGTGTATAAAAGGAGTGCAAGCGAAAAGAGGTAACAAAGAAAGCGGTGAAAGCGGAGCAAAAGAGTGTGAGCTAAAGACCGCAGGCCAAACGCCCTCTGAACCGTTTCAATTGACCGAAGGCGAGGTCTTCCTTTTCCAACACAACCACAAAAAAAAAAAAGTAGAATATAACCCCCATGATGTTCCAAAACTCTCAGCTGAATATTCTCTTTTTCTGAATATGAGTTCGTGACACGAGCTTTAAAGATAAGCCAGAAAATAAAATACAATAGATTCTATGTAAATAAGTTCAAGTCCGATGTACCTACTCAAGACCAACACAATTTAGCTATTCCTACAAAAATGTTTTCTTTGTCATAGTATAGTTTGCGTATAGTATAGGTTCCTGGTGTGTATTAGTTTATTTCTGGTTTTATAAATATATAAACATTATAAACATTTTGCATTTAAGGGGATGTTATGTTATTATTTCTAGTAGAGTCTATCCTAGCCCTCGTCTCTAGTTGCACTTTACTTGGCTTCGTTTTCCATATTCAGTTGATTTCCATATTAATTTCGTAGTCTGGGTAATTCGAGGCGTTCTATCCACGTCGCTCAACTGCCAGCTACACGGTGAAAAAATTTATATTATTTTAATTATACAGTTATATTCTATTTTGTATTCTTCGTCAAATGATCTTACTAAATTTGAAATGTTTAAGGTCTTGAAAACCGAAAAGTGTGTCAAGGCGGAGAAAATGGCAATTCTTTTTTCGAAACTGCGGACTGTAATTTCTAACCGTGTACTACTTATGCTCGTTTCGATTCTCGTATCTGTTTGCTTGGCTCCCATTTTCTGTAAGCGACACCATAAAATACTGAGCGTGTTGGGCACACATACGCACACAACACAAGTGCACTCGCATTCACACAACTGCACTTGTATTCGTACACACACATGTGTGCGGAAAAGTGCCGGGGAATTTTTCCCAGTGGAAGAGTAAGGGTAAGGGTAAGGGGAAAGGGGAAAAACTCACTGACCTCACCAATATTACCAAACCATCGATGCCTTCGATTCTTGGGCTTCGAATGTTCCGCTGAAGAGCCGCCCCTTGTTGTTTTATTTTTACGCGATGCCACTTTTGGCTTTTGTTGCCAACATCCTGTCTGACCCTGCCACGCCTCCGTGCCCCGCCCCATCCCTTAAACGAACTCAACTTTGACCCCCTGCGACCCCGTTGCGAGTGACGCTTCATTTTCTTTATTTCAGCTGGCAGCACGCGCATTACATTACATTACATTACATTACAACATGGCCGGAATGGGTCGATCCGGATCCGGACCGTAGTCCATGTCCGTATTCTTGTCCATATCCGTATCCCTGCCCGTCCGTCTGTCCTGCCAAAGGAGAGAGCGAGATGGGGATAGGCAACATCGCATTTCGGCCATTTGTTGTTTACCCGTTTCTATTCGATAGCGAGTGCGAGTTCGAGTGTGAGTGCGAGTGTCAAGTGAGTGTTTGAGTGTTCGGCTTATTCATGGCCAAAGTATTCGAGTGAAATGGATGCTGGATGCCCACTAAGTAATTGTTCGATATAAGCTTACTGGCCTCAGAAGCCCGAAATTAGGTTCTTTTAACCAAATTACTTATAACATGTTCCCAATCAATTTGGATTTATTAGGGTTCGGAAATTAGGTAAATATTTCATGAGAAGTTTTAGGCGAGTCTTTTTTTTTTCAATAGACGGGTTTATTAATATTGTGTATTATTGCCCAGGAAGAGCGTATACCAAAAACCGATATTTTACAAAATATTCTACTTATTTAAAATTAATATATCTTTCCCAGCCATCGAAGTACTTTTACCCTAAAAGAGTTAAAGCTGATTTTTCCGATTTAAGCCTTCTCTTGACGCCGATTTCCACCCTGTGGCTTTCTTTTCTTTCGCTTTTCCCCAGGATTTTCATCAACTTCTTTTACAGTTTGCTCGATTTTTCGGTACAAATTGATGCCATCTGTTCGACGTTTAATGCCTCGGGGTTTTTGGCCAGCTCCCGGGCCATTTGTCGTGCAACACTTTCAGCGCTTTTTAATGCAGTGGCTGCATAATTTTAACGCTCGTAAGTCGCCTGCATTATCCGGGCCATAAATCGGAGACGACTTTGCCTTTACTTCTTGCCGGCCACACCCACTTCTCTGTCTTGCGCCCCCCACTCCGGGTTTTCGGTGCGGTGGAGCAGTTCATTTTGGCCAGTGGGCAGCTCAGTTTTCACACAATTGGCCCCGGACTCACATACGTATTATACATACAAGCATTTCGCTTTTGCCAGATATTTGTATACATACATATATTCCACCTGCAAGCACACACTCATCTGACCCGAAAGCCACTTAAGAGCCATTCAAATTACGTTTCATTACGCTTATTGAGGGGGGCAGTAAGAAACCTTTTTATGGGAGCTATGTAATCCCTAGTTTTCGGTGGATTCGCACTGGGATTACCACGGAAAACATAAATTTAACTTAGTTAAATCTTAGAAACAACATTTGTTGTTTCTTTCTTTTAAACATTGTCATCCTTTTTTATTTCTGAACATTAAAAGTTTGATTTAACAAAATCGTTCGATATATCAAATCCATTTTCTTGTTTTGGATAGAACAAGAACAAGCCAAATAAGCTTTTTTCGAACTTAAAAAATAAACAATATTCTTGGGTAACCACAAGTCGATCAGTAAGGCCCATTGTCTAAAAAGTTTGAACCTTTGTTTTATGGCCCCGCAACTTTTAGATTCAATTTGTTTTTTGGTCAGCTATAAAGTTATTGATTTAATTCGTATCTGGGGAATGCTTAATCAAAAATACTCGGATATACATATGACGGTGTGGCAGTGCCACCCTGTTTTACCGACACTTTTTCCACCGAAAAAAGTGAAGAAAAAGTTGTTTGCTGCTCGTTAGTTCAACTCTGGGAACGAGATAGTTTTCCAGCTTTCCTTGCTTTTTCTTATCGATTGGGGAACCATCGGAGATTGTATGGTCACTTTCTGCTGGCCAAGTGGGCCAGTTAAGGGCTGTCAGTCCTTGACCGATTGGCTTGCCTGGGTGTTTTGAAACCCCCTGTCAGTTGTTTTTTGGAAGCCAATACACAGACACGTATTTTTTTCAACATTTGAATATTTTATTAAAATTTGTAAAAAAAAAAAAAAAAAATGTGTGATTCTAAGGCAAAGGAAAAAGGCAGCAAACGGAATAAACAGGAAAGAGAGAAGAAATCGCTTCGTTTTTGGGAGCATATGAGTCTCTTATCCTGGGCGCCGGGAAAGTGTCCTGTGGGCCATTGCGAACAGTGGCACTTTCCCACAAGTCTGATGGTCCACCTTCTTAATCATCACTCTCATGATGTCCATACGATGGTGTCCACCATCTATGACAATCATTTCATACGTCTGACCTTTGACCCGCTGAATTACCAGAAAGGAGTTCCCAAGGCCTTGGCAATACTCCTATATGGCGGCATCGAGAATAACACCCGATCTCTGCCAGGGCGCAGGCTTTTAAGCTATGCCAATGAAGGGCTTTTGAACCATAAACATTGCTTTGAACACCATTTAGTTCTGACCCTTATGATCTGCAAAACCACATGGCACTCACTTCTGAAGGACAACGAAACCGCTGACGAACTGGAGGATATAAACGAAACAGATGCCACTATCTATGTGATTTGGATGGTTGCTCCGGTCTTCGGAAGACACATTTACTACACACTGACCATCTTCGATAGTTTATACATGCAATCGCGCAGCGTTGTCCGAAAGACAAGAAACTTTGCTCGTTCGCAGAATCCCAGTGATCTGGCAAGCAGCTCGAATTACATGTTGATCCGGAATAAAGAAGCAATGGAGCTAACCAAGGCCGGTGGTAAGCCGGGCATCCAACTGGAATTGATCGTTAATGAGAAGCCCGGTGACAAATTCATGAAGACGTCTAGCCCACCACATTTGCTTGAGACATTTAATAGTGCCGAAACCAGTATGCCGCGTATAAAAGTTGGACTGAATCGGAAAGCCAATAAAAAACTGCCCCTCAACCGAAAACCCCTGTCAAATCCCAAGCTAGCAGTTCCACTGCAACACATCTAGAGTTGGGAAGTTACAGGGCCAATTTACTAAAGGTAGGCCCTCATTAGACCAGGAAAAGAATCTCTGAAGAATCAATCAACACTGAATTTTGAAAAAGTCATTGCTTAAAAATCTAAAGTTATGTTTGCTTTACATTTGCATCTCAACTAATCCCAAATTTCACCAAACAAATTCTAAATTCTTTTCTTGCCTGTATTTTTTTTTTTTTTTTGTCTACCAGTAAATGACCCACATATAGGTAACATACCGTATAAGATTATAAGCGAGCAAAAATGCTTTCGTTGTTTTCATTGGCATTATTTAAATTCCAGTTTCGTTTTGGTAGTCGCCACATAAAAATGGTCAAATCCTGTGGAAAGTCTGCGTGTGCGATAAAGTGGGAGTTTTGGCGACGATTTTTTAGAGAGGTAAGGGCAACCGAAAGCCATTGCGGTTGTCATCGCACGTTGCACCCAGCAGGAGGTTTCATGCCATCCGTGTTATTTAACGTATGAAGATTTCAGCTTAAAACGGATAACAGACAAAGGTGTTCGCAAAAGCGTTAATTCATCGCACTTTTTTTTTTACCTGGTGGTAGCAAAAAAACTTCAGAGAATATATGTATATCTATTGAAATTAAATCAAATTTAATTTTTGCAAGCAAATAAAATACGGCAATGTTTAAGAAGTAAAGGCTCAGAAATTTTCAGCATAAAATTTATGTCAAACTCTTGTGGGCACTCAATGAAAATATTAAATTTAAATTGTAAAGTAGTACAAAACTAATTAAGAACATTGTAAGGCTTGAGAAATCAATTTGCAAATGAAATACAATTAAACCCGATTTGCAACAGAATTGCAACAAAACAAAACAAAGATGAGAAAAGTACAGTACCTGCCGAAAAAAAAATAGGTGATAAAAGTAAAGTGGCGACTATTCCAGTCAAACTGACAGCCGGTGGAAAGAGTGCGCGATAGCCGCGGAGAACGAGACAGCGATAGCGAAAATCACTGAATGAATCTCATCCGAGAGTTTTTCGCACTTGAAAGAAGGCCGGCAAACAAAACAAGCAAGCCAGGAAGTGGGCGGAAAGGGTGAGAAAAGGGGAACGGACTGTCCAGAGTTGCCTGCAACTGAAATGCCCAACAAACAATGCAAAAAAATTAAAAAAAAAAATAAAGAAAAAAAAAGAAAAAAATGAACAACCGGACTCGGAAAGGTGAAAAATAAGAATGGCTGGCAGCACAAATAAAATGCGAAAATGTTGGGCGACAAGAACAACAAAAATACAACAACAATAAAAGAGACGGTGAAAATCTTCTGCTCTGCGGCAGTGGAAAACTTTTGAATAATTTATCTTGCGTTGAAAGGACGTTTTCATTAAAATTCGCCAACGTATTTAAAGTGCGAGATAACTCCCAGAGTGACGATTATTCAAGTGAGTTCATTTGCCTGCTAGGAATGCTAAATGCGAAAGACCCATACAAACATACATACATATACATACACATACATACATTTAATTATAAAGGTTGGAGAAAAAGTCCGTAAAATGTTCTGTACCAATGACAACTAAACTCGTGTACAGGAGAATGTATGTACATACATAAATTTGTTTTATGACCTCAGAGACATGCAGATCTCAATAAATCAAGAATATAATAAATGTTATCTAATATAAAAAATTAAATTTTCTAAGAATCTTTTAACTTTCTTATTTTGTTATAATAAAAAATGAGCACACTATATAGTAACAGAACTTTTAGTTATTTACTTGTTCTCTTGTTTGGTATTCATTTGTCTTAAGTAAGGTAAATATTTAAATTTTTACTCAAAACGCAATAAGTAGCAATTATAAGCACACATACATACATACTTTCGCAAGGGCGGCGGTGAAACACATATATGTACATAATTTACCTCGTAAAAAAAACACTTTAAAATCGCGAAATATCAAACGAAACTTATTGCACTGCCCGGACATCTTATCTTACCATTTAATTAATAATTATTTACACATTTAAGAAATCGAAAGGCGGCGAAATTTGCTTAAATAGATTTTCTAATGCAGTGACGCCGCAATTGCTTTCCAATGGATGAGAATAAAGAGGAAGAATTGAGAGAGAAGGAGAGATAAGAAAACGAAAGAGAGCTTTAAGAAGATCAGAGAGAGCGCTCTCATTATCGTTGCTTTAATCCCAGCTTAAAGCTTACATTTTCGCTCTTTCCCTTTTCTGTTAATTCTTTTCTTTGAATTTTTTGCTGTGCACCACTAAATTTTACCCAACAAATGGACGTTGTTATAGTGCAAATGGCAACAGTACGAAACAACTGAAGCGCAAGTGTTTTCATTGGGAAATTGTTTTACATTCCAATTTAATTCCATTTTTTGTTGTGTCTGGTCCCCAAACATTTTTTGCCAAAGGTTGGGAATATGGTTTGCTGTAATTTGGATACACAGTGTTATTTTAATGCGCATTTCCTGTTCGCACGGCCAACTTTTCGGATAAATGCTGTGAGTTTTATGCTTTTGCTTTATTTTATGTTTGCCTCAAAAAACAATTTATTGATTTTGCCCAAATGAAATAATAAATGTCTTTTTTCTTTTGTGGCTACTTTGATTCGCACCTCAGGAGCTAAAGAAAACTTTGATAAGTTCCAAGACTAAATAGTTATTAATTAAACTCACTTGAAAAGATATTGCATTTGTCAGAAAAAAAATATCCCTAAAAATGAAATTTTGATACTTACTTTTTTTTTTTTCTCAGTGCCCTTGAGTGATTTCCTTGATATATATGTAGATATTTTTCTTTGTATTTTTACTCTCGGGAGTGCTTTGTCTTTAGCTGCAACTCTTCCATTTGTGTTGTGAGTGACTTCCTCTGTTGGCTTTATGGCCATTCTTAGTTGCATTTGCCAAAATTAGCCATCTAAATCATGTCCAGCGTTTCCCTTTTCTCTGACCATTTCAATTCCCAGCTCTCGCTTTTTCTATCTGGCGTATTTGTCAAGAGTGAAATCAACATAACATAAATTTAATGTCTGAAACAGACGGAGCAAAAAGGAACCAAAGTAACGGCAACACAAAAAATTACTCTCATTGGCCAGCGGCGAGTTTAAAGAACAAGAAATATCATTTTGTTAATTCTGTTCTTTGTTTCTTTGCGCTCTCTGCAATGATACTCTTTCTAAATATGTGTTACTTAAATATAATATGAACAGTAATAATTGTGTGTGGTAGGAAATGAAAAAAAACTTTAGTAAATTGGTTTATAATTGACTCAAAATTTAAAATAGTTGAAAGTTTTTTAATACAATGAAATCAATAGATCTAGAACATTAAAAATGAAGAAAACTTAACATAACGAAGTACCTCTTTAAAAAATATTTTTATTTATACACGGCAAGCTTAAATTGCGTTATAAAATTAAAAAGTATTAAACTATACTATGCATATTAAACATCGTAAAAATATCCGTTTATGCCAAAAAAATGTAATTTATCTTATTAAATTTTAAACGTATTAGATTGGTCGGCTTAAAAAATCTTTCATGTCTTTTTTTTAACTGCTATATTCGTTGCATTCGTTGAAGCATACATACACAAACGCGTAAATATCGCAAACTCCACATAAAGCTGTATTTATTCAGTAAAAAGGGAAAAGACGCTGGAAAAGTGGGGGCGGGGAAAAAAGGGGGGCGCGCATCACCTTTGGCTACAAAACTGCACTGGGGCTGGCAATTTTCTTGCGGGGCCCCATTTCCATTTTATTCCGCTCCTGGGCAGCGTCGTTTCATCGCGCAATTTCCGCACAAGTGTTGGCAATATAAAAATAGCGACAAAATATAAAAGTAATTTATGTTCGCCTTTTTCCATATAATTTCTATATGCATGAGTTCGGGTGGCGAGGAGTACTCACTTCAGCTGGGTAGTTTATAAAAATGTGTGGTACAGCAACAACTCCTGCTGCCGGCTCATCCTTTTTGTGATATATGAAATATGCATGTTGATGCGCTCGTTTGTATGCGCCAAACTGCATTTAATTTATTAAAATAAATATTTTCAGTGTTGAATAATGGTGTCTGAGTTATGTTAACAAAGATAAGGCACTCGAAGGATTTATCTGGTTCAGAACTTTATCCGTAATTGTTGACATTCTTAGTCGATGCTTTCAATCTGAAATAGGAGAACTTCCTAAGTTAAATGCACGGCAGTGTTGAATAACAGTGTATGAGATATATTGCAAAATATTTTCGAGTGCTCTCCCTTACATGGATTTAGCCAACACTTAATTGCATTTATTTACATTTGATTAAAATGTACTCTTACTTCTGACAGAAATTTTAATTAAATTAATGGTACTTCCTTTTCATTGGCTTAGTTTGGCTAAATTTATTTCCAACTTAATTTATTAGAGCAAATATTTTGCCTGAATGTCGTTAGGTTTGTTAAAACATTGGATGCTTTATCCATAATTGATGACAATCCATGGTCGTCGCTTTCAATTTGATTAACCAATTGCCGCGTTGAAATTTACATGAAGCGAAACCGAAATTAAATATGTTTAGTCCGAAATCACATTTCATTATAGTGCGGCGATTGCATAATAATGTGGTCAACCGCAAATAGCAACCATTATCCGAGTCACCCATACAACCACCCAACTGAAAAACCACCCACCAGTATAACAACCCATCTGTCACATCGCATTGCTAAAGGACAAAATACTCATGAATATATCAGCACGAGCATTTACTAGATTCGATTGACAGGATGTGGCAGGTGGATCTTTGTTAGTAAAACCTAAAAGCAAATACAAATGCACATACCTGAATGAGCACATATTTGCGTAATCGATTTCTAGTTTTTCATATCCAACATTTTTTGATTCGATAAGCCCGAAATTGTATTGATAAATTTAATACCTTAAATTAAAAAGGCATAAATGTAATTCCTTTGTCATATAGAGAAAAATAATTAGGTTGTCCCTTCTGACTTTGTTCAAATATTTCCAGACCAAATTGTCAACTGAAATTATGCACAATTTGTGCTATCAAATGACCGCCTGGCATATTTTTTTTATGTTCATCAAGTATGCAGAAAGAGATAGACAATAATGGCCGAAAGGGACGGAGGTGCAATTCAGAAAGTTAACAAATAAAATTATGCAAACGTCAACGACAAAAAAAAATAATAAAAAAAAATGGAAAAAGAGAGAGCACAAACAAATTTGCACGACAAGCGAAGGGAAAATAAAATCTGACTTCGTAA